ATGTAATTTTTACTTTCATAAATTTAGAATTTTTAAATGATTTAAATACTTAAATTTTTTAGAATATTTATGGAAGGCTCCAGAACTTCTTCGTCTAAATCATTGTCCTCCGGAAGGCACACAAAAAGGCGATGTTTATAGTTTCGGAATAATATTACAAGAAATTGTACTCAGAGAAGAACCTTTCTATCCTCATATCGAAAATATGGATATTTCAGGTGAGAAATATTATAAAAATCTTCTTTTATATCTTTTTGTAGAAGTCAAATGATATATTGTACATGTAATTTTATATCTACGTAGATATCATCGCTCTTGTCAGAAGTTCTGATGATCCCCCTTTTCGTCCGATTATCAGCAAAGGTACATGTATTAAAGAACTTCAAGATTTAATGCAAAACTGTTGGGCTGACGATCCAGATAATAGACCAGACTTTGGGCAAATTAAACAAGATATGAGAATTATTAATAGGTAAGTTATATATTACACATTTTTCCCCATAGAAAAAGAGCTATGAAATTTTAATAAATTCTTTTCTAGAGGTCAGAACGGAGAAGTTAATATAATGGATAATTTATTATCTCGCATGGAACAATATGCTGGAAATTTAGAACATTTAGTGGAACAAAGGACTGCTGCATTCCTGGAAGAAAAGAGAAAATCAGAAGAATTGTTATATCAAGTTCTTCCAAAGTAAATAAATAATTAATTGATTAAAATTAAAAAGTAGATCGATTCATTCTCGAAAAAATTAGTATTAAAACAGTGAAAAGTTAATCATTTTGATTCAATTCTAATATATTTTAATTTATTTAGCCTTAATTGTACATTACTTAGTTTACTATTTTACTTTGAATAGTCGCTTTATTAAGATCACGAGCTAATAGTAGGCTGCACCATTATGGCTTCAAATATTGCTATTATGTTATGTGGTATTCATAAATGTTGCGAGGAATATTGCCCATTTCAGCAGTTATATTATCTTTAATTCTGAGGACTTATGCAGATTTTATTCTGAAGATCATGGCTTTCCATTTATCTCATAGGTCTACGTAAAATTTTAGATCTAGAGATTGGCTTGTTTACAAATATGCTCGGCATTTTCATGTTCTTCAAATTATTTTTTGATGCATTTGTGTTGATTACCTGGATAAATTATCGTTCTGAAAGTATCCATTTTCCTTAGTAGCATCATTGAATATCCTTAATCAGTAATAATGTTGAGATATACTTCGAAAACCACTTTGTCTTCTAATGAAATCGAAGAATCAAATGTATGCCACAAAAATATATTCTATTACTCCGCCTCACTAGTGTGTGCTGACGATAAACAACAGATGGGGTTTTCCGCCCTATGGGCACTAAGAGAGTATTTTTTCAGACACATTACGTAGCATGGCCACAGTGGGGCGACTAGGCGGTGATGAACGGGGCCCGACTTATCCAGGACAGAGTACTCCGGAAAATTCCTGAGAATTTTTATCACACGGGTCCCCAGAGCGATAGGGTGACACCTTAAACGCCTAGGACATCCGGCAGCTCTGACAAATGGGTCAAAATATTTAATGAAATTCATGAAAAAGATCTTTAATAATTTGATAGAATTAGTTCCTCTTTAGCCAGGAATTGCAGTTTGTACAGAAAGAATATTTTCACTTGTGGATTTTCCTATGGTCAAAAGTGGAATCGAAATTCAATATTTAAGCCATAAAGCAATAATAATTTAGTTATTAAAAAAAATTGCGATTTACAACGCGATCAGTTTTATGATAAAAGTTACGAGTGACTAAAATTTATTAAAAACCATAAGTTCATCTGAAAAATATGTAAGATTTGACGCTGGAAAACATTCGACATCAATCTATTAATTTAAATTTGATATCATACTGTAATAAAATACTTAATATGTAATACATTTTTTTCATTATTAAATTTTCGAAAATAAAATCGTTCAGTAAAAGTGTATGTAGTTTTTTGTGACACAAAGTGAATATCCCTATTATTGCATTGATAAATTTGTAATAATGCTCATCTATATTTCTTGATGAAACTTTAATAAGAGAGGGCCCGTATTTATCACTTGTGGCTCCCTGCCCGTTTCGGCATCAAAAAATTATGATCAATTTATCTAAATCCGAATTGCATTGTTTATAAGATTTTTCTCATGTTCTTTCCTGAATTATGGTTATATAATTATATTGGTTCAATTGTCATTTAACGAAGATTACTTTCACGATAAGCTGCACTTTCAGCTGCTTAAGGATATATTCTAGACATTTCTTCATTTTTAAATACTTGGTAGAAATTTTTTTAGAACAGTCAATTAATGAAGCACGCATCTTCGCATACATGTGTTATCTTTTCTGCAGTACGATACACCTTGAAATGTCGAGAAATGCAAAATATTTCGGGTTTTTTTCTGTGTCTATTGATGTTAGTGTGGGCGGCACGATTTTTTCACTCTGTTTGAAGCTTAATAACTTCTGTGCTTTCTATCGAAAATTTCTNAATTTATCTAAATCCGAATTGCATTGTTTATAAGATTTTTCTCATGTTCTTTCCTGAATTATGGTTATATAATTATATTGGTTCAATTGTCATTTAACGAAGATTACTTTCACGATAAGCTGTACTTTCGGCTGCTTAAGGATATATTCTAGACATTTCTACATTCTTAAATACTTGGTAGAAATTTTTCTAGAACAGTCAATTAATGAAGCACGCATCTTCGCATACATGTGTTATCTTTTCTGCAGTACGATACTCATGGTCGTCTTCGTTCGTCTAATTGCCTTGTAGATAGCCATTTTGTTCTAAAACTCACAGATTTTGGATTACCTTCTTTTCGACATGATGAAACATACATTGCTATTGAAATTGGCGATCAAAAAAGTAAGATATTTTATTTCTTTTTGATTCCTAAAGACGTTAAGAGAATCATCGTAAATCGAAATTTATTCCCTCGGGCTCAATGTCACAAATTGATATTACGTTATTGAAAATAAACTATATGGTAGTCAATTATCTAATGATTAATCACTGATAAATAATATATTTCCTATAATTATAATAGAAAATTTATGCCACTCGCAAATAGTAGTAAAGTGAGGGTGTAATGATGTAATTTTTACTTTCATAAATTTAGAATTTTT